ATCTACACCATATTTTTCATTGCATGCATCAACTATAGTCTGAATACCAGTAGTTATATCAGATCTAAAGAGATGCTCATATTTCTGTGCTAGCCACTTAGCACTAACCCTGGTGGTCTCAGTGGTACTAGGGCAAGTGTGCTCTAGTCCCGTCTTCTTAATTACAAAGGTTTTCTCCCCTTTTATAATTGCTGCCACCATTAAGAACTAGCATTGTTTATCTGTACACTCAACAATTATCCTCTGATCTGAATTCCTGTGATACTTGAAATTCCTGGTCTGGGTGATGTGCAAATTCAACAAAGCATCTCTGAATTGATGTTGATCCCTAAAACACAACTTTAGACACAGTTGCTCATGTGGTTGCTCCATTTTCTCATTGTACCACTTCTTAGCAGGCCTTTTCTTTGCCCTACTCTTCCTTTTCTTTGGTAGGACAAAAGAGAGTGGCTCAAAACCATCATCATCACTCTCCCTCAACAACCCCTTCTCTTCTTCATCTGATGATGGTCTGAAATCAGGTTCAACCTCTGGTAGCTCACTACAATGTGACCTAGTGGTTGGTCCTCTTCTAACTGACAGCTTCTGCTTCTTCTTTATAGGTTCAACTATAGTTTCTTCTTCTTGTTTAAAAGTCCTATCTTCCTCTACCTCAAATGGGTCCTCAACTTCAGTGTCACCCTCATAATGCATAGTCTTCAGCATTTCTTCCTCTTCTGATTGATCATCATCTGATTCTTCCTCTTGTAGTTCTAGCTCTCTCTATCTCTTTCCCTCTTCCACCTCTACATCTTCATTATCAACCATGTAATGAGGGTCACTTCCAATTTGACCATCCTCATCAGAGGCATCACTGTCCTCATAAGCCTCAAATCCTTGATATCCCTCTTCTTCTTCTTCCAAAACTGCTTTCAACTTGGTTGTTGCATTCTTGCTTTCTTGTGTGCAAACACCAGGAGGACCGGCAGGATGATGTGTGCTAGAGATGCTACATTGACTCTCAAAAACTACTCCTTCCTGATCAACAACTAAGATAGGAGGCTCACTCAGATCATAAATAATAGGCTCTTGGTACACCACAGTGGACAAGTCTGGCTTTTCAAAATGCTGCCTCTCAAAATCAGTATCAGGGGGTGGACAAGCCCTGACTAGCAAATTAAGCACAAAATTGTCCTGGATCTTCCTCTTTATCATCTGTAATTCTGCATGACTGTCTACCAAATCCAGCCATTTCTCTCATAAAGATGGATTTTCAATGTGATACAAACATATGCATTAAATCCTTGGGTTTCCATCACTGCAACCAAATTCAGATAAGTAATATCTGAACCACACAGCTTCATCTTCAATGGTTCTCTTGCATCAAAATGGATCCTTACTTGCCAAATGTCTTCATCCAAACTACAGAACAGATTAAATTTCATGTATCATTATAATTACTCTTAATTTGGAGAGCAACAGTACAGTACAGACCAAATTAAAGTAACCTGTAAGTCCATTATTTACTAATTCAGCACAATAGTGAAATTTGGAGAGCAACAGTACAGTACAGAACAATTTAAAGTAACAGTACAGTACAGCACAGAACAATTTGGAGAGCCACACTAATTCACTTAGTAAAACCATAATCCGAAAATTTTACTGTCATTGAACTAATTTGAGAGTGCAATACACTATGTTACTAGGCTAGTTTATTTGTCCTATACTAGTCACTTCAATTGGATAAAACCTAATCCCCAACTGGATAAAGCAGAAGATGAACAAACCCTAAAAATGCCCAATTGGATAAATCAGAGGAGGAGTAGGACAAGGGTACTTACAGCACGCCGCCAAGTCCATGCGTCAACTCATGGCTGCTGCTAGGGTTCGCCACCCACTGATGCGCCAACCGCAACCGCTGCTCCATGGTGAGTAACATCGACTCCTCGTCGTCGGTCGAGTACGCGGAGCTGGACTCGTCGCCGCCATCCCCGTCGACGCCAGCTGTTCCGCTAGGAGGCCAAAACGGCATCTCACCGCCGCCATGGACGCCCTTGCCGCCGCCTGGCGGAATCGCCGACGCCATGGACTAGGGTTTGAGTCGAGGAGGAGGAAGGGAGGGGAATGGTGCGGCCGGGCTGGAGCTGGTGCGACCGGACCGGGTTGGAGAGCAGCAGCGCACCGGCTCGTCCTAGTCAGCGCGCGGGCACGCGCCGATTGGCCAGCATGGCACCTGACGGGTGGGGCTCAGCTGTCGGTTCCAGCATCAATACGTATAAATACGCGTTTTAGCCTAATTTGCAAAAACCCGGATCAATGTTGGTACTGACACGCAAAAATTAGCAATCGTGGTATCAATCTGCATGTGATGACCGAATTGTGGTACTTCCGTGCAATTAACTCGCTTAAATAAGGTTAGCTGCTTCACTGAGTCACTGCCTCACGTTTTCTTTGTCCTTGTTTCGTCTCTCTCTCTCCCTCCACCTGTAGCCAAAAGAGCTCATGGAAAGAAGCAGAGAGATTATGAGAAAGCCATTTTTCTTTGTAAGCTCACCTTCGTGCTTTATTCATCTTCCCAGCTAGTAGCCAATCACCCCGTTTGCGTCTGCATATATACGGCACCGCTCCCCCTCTTCTCGGCATACCGACCTCGAGGGCTTAAGTGCGCGCTCGATCAACGAAACACAACGCGAGTCTACCTCAAGAACTAGCTGACAGGACACCAGTGTGAAGGACAGTCGAGTGACCATGGCCGCAGCAGCCAGCGATGGCCTCGCCGACGAGAAGGCGCCGGGGACGATCGGCGTAGGCCGGTACGAGGAGATGGAGCAAGACGGCGCCTCCAGCACCGCAAAGTCGCGGCTCTCTGGCCTCCTGTGGCACGGCGGCTCCGCCTACGACGCCTGGTTCAGCTGCGCTTCCAACCAGGTGAGCACCATTACGCAGCCATTTTCTTGTTAGCTCACGGCATTATACTAGCTAGTGCTTACTTTGTGTTGTCGCCGGTGCGAATGGTTTGGTGACCCTCAGGTGGCCCAGGTGCTGCTGACCTTGCCCTACTCCTTCTCGCAACTGGGGATGCTGAGCGGCATACTGTTCCAGCTCTTCTACGGCCTCATGGGGAGCTGGACCGCGTACCTCATCAGCATCCTCTACGTGGAGTACCGGACCAGGAAGGAGAGGGAGAAGGCCGACTTCAGGAACCATGTCATCCAGGTGAGCTAGCGAGAGGAGAGACCACCACGTTCATTCTTCGCCGTCCGTCCGTGTTCCATCTTCCGTGTGGTGTGGCGGATCTGAACTGAAATCGCCGCTGATGCGCAGTGGTTCGAGGTGCTGGACGGGCTGCTGGGGAGGCACTGGAGGAACGTCGGCCTCGCCTTCAACTGCACCTTCCTCCTCTTCGGCTCCGTCATCCAGCTCATCGCCTGCGCCAGGTACGTGTGCGCGCGCTCATGAGCGTTCATCATTATCAGTACTCATAAGTGTTTGCTTAAAGACGGACACGTGAAAGAACAAAAAAGAGAGACACAAAAGTTGATCGTCTCCAAGCTCGTTTTGTTATTGGCTCCTTTGTTTCTTGGTGTCCGTGGAGAGTGGCTTCCTCAAGAGAGTGTATGATGCATGGTGTGCAGCAACATCTACTACATTAACGACCGGCTGGACAAGAGGACGTGGACCTACATCTTCGGCGCGTGCTGCGCCACCACGGTGTTCATCCCGTCGTTCCACAACTACCGCATCTGGTCCTTCCTGGGCCTCGTCATGACCACCTACACGGCGTGGTACCTCGCCGTTGCATCCCTTCTCCATGGCCAGGTACGTACCTACCTACGTGTGGCCAGCCGTGTGGTGTGGATACAATACAATCATACGAAAGTGACAACTCAATACAGTGACTGACATGCATGTATCGGGCGTACACTGCAACGTGTGTTCTATATTAGCACTTGTGTGCTGTCCATTTCGTGGGTACATAACATAACATGTATACGGTACTGTACTCAGGTTGATGGTGTGAAGCACTCTGGCCCGACCAAGATGGTGCTCTACTTCACCGGGGCCACCAACATTCTCTACACCTTCGGCGGCCATGCAGTTACTGTGTAAGTAGCTAACAAAAACCCCGCCCTTTCGTCGATTTACTAATAGTAGTAGAGTAGTAGTATTGCATTAGATAGTGGAGTACGTCCTCAAAAAAGAAAAAGATAGTGGAGTACATGTCAAAAGGAAAAAATAAATACACAAAATGGGCACGCATCGTCACATGCCATGTCAAGTTTTGGACACTGGACTGCTGGCCTGTGTACCGGGAAAGCGCAGCGTCAGCGAGCCCACTCTCTGCCGGTGTACATTCTGCAACGGTTCCGTAGTGCCGCCAATGGCTTTTGCTGAATACACTCCGTAGTTTAAATTTACTAGCTAGGCTGCACATTTGTGTCACCACAAGCGTACACGCTTAGTCCATTTCTTGCGTGCTGGGCACGAACAAGACAGCATTGGCCCACAGCACTGCTCAGTCTTGGCAGCAAGCAAACTCGTACGGTTTCCTTCTCAGCTAATGGCTGTGACCTGTAGTAGCCTTTGTTGATCATTCTCGCCCTCGGTCATACGCAGTGGCAGGCCGGGCATCTCTGTGTCTGCGGCCTTGGACTCCGGCCGTCTCATCAGTCATTTTCTGAACAGTCAAGGGAAAGGAGCCACTCCACCCCAGCAGCAGGGCTCCGGCTCCTTTACCCGTGCCGGATACGATAACCCTGTCACAGACGCAAACAGCACGAAAGTTCGATGCGCCCAAAAATGGCGCACTTGTCCATGTAACTCTGTAGCCTGCACCACGCTAGCTTGCAAAGTTGCAGTCATCCACGCCTTAGCTCGGTCAGAGCAGAGTCCGGTCCTCTCGCTCGCTGCATGCAGGGTTGCAGTGAAAACACCAGCCCATGGTTTAGATTAGAGCAGTCTGTCCAATGTCACTAACTTAGCTGTGCATGCAAGCAATTAGCTAGAATCTTGATCGATGGATGTGTGGATGCAGGGAGGTGATGCACGCGATGTGGCGGCCGCAGAAGTTCAAGGGGATCTACCTGATGGCGACGGCGTACGTGCTGACGCTGACGCTGCCGTCGGCGGCGAGCGTGTACTGGGCGTTCGGGGACGAGCTGCTCACGCACTCCAACGCGCTCTCGCTGCTGCCGCGCACGCCGTTCCGGGACGCCGCCGTGGTGCTCATGCTCGTCCACCAGTTCATCACCTTCGGCTTCGCCTGCACGCCGCTCTACTTCGTCTGGGAGAAGCTCATCGGCCTCCACGACTGCCGCAGCCTCTGCAAGCGCGCCGCCGCGCGCCTCCCCGTCGTCGTGCCCATCTGGTTCCTCGCCATCGTCTTCCCCTTCTTCGGGCCCATCAACTCCGCCGTCGGCTCCCTCCTCGTCAGCTTCACCGTCTACATCATCCCGGCGCTCGCGCACATGATCACCTACCGCTCCGCACACGCCCGCGAGGTAACTACCACTACTGTCTTTTTTACGTTCAGTTCATTCATTTTACTGTCTTTTCAAGTGCTAGTACGCACTAACCAAAAGTAGCTGCTTTTGCTTTCACTTTTAGCTTGGGAGTTTAGCATGCAGTAGGTAGGGTTTGTGGCGTTTGCATTGCACGCCTATGTTCTTTGGGTATCTCGCAGCAGTTTGCTTGCTTTATTACAGCGGCATCGATGTCGTGCCACGCCCAGCTAGGTCCTGATTAGATGTCACCTAGCACAGCAGCACGACTTTTCCAGAGACCGGCTAGTTTGAGTGTTAGCATAAAGCTGTGGCAATGATTAAGGGTGAAGCATAATTAGTGTCTTTACTAAACGTGAGACAAAACTGCATGAGTTGTCAGTGTCAAAGCGTTATTTGTCTGAAAACGGACACAATTAGTTTGTACTACTGTCAGAAAGAAGAACAGAGTGATGATATTTGTTCGACATGCGTGTCAGTGGTGCTGCAATGTGGTAAAGAACTCTGTTTTGCCATGGCCTAATGAACTCTTGCCTGAACGCTTGACATGCAGAACGCCGTGGAGCAGCCGCCGCGGTTCGTGGGGCGATGGACGGGCACGTACGTGATCAACGCGTTCGTGGTGGTGTGGGTGCTGGTGGTCGGCTTCGGCTTCGGCGGCTGGGCCAGCATCACCAACTTCGTCCGCCAGATCGACACCTTCGGCCTCTTCACCAAGTGCTACCAGTGCCCCACGCCGCCCATCCCGGACGCCTCCTGGCCGTTCCCCGGCGGCCTCCACAACCTGACGATGCTTCCGCCGGCGCCGGCTCCTTCACCGGCGCACTTCTTCCGCCACCACCGGCACCACAGCCGCGGGCTCTGAAGCTTAAGAAGCCTCCGAGGCTGCCGCTGCTCTGGATAACCCTAGTTAATTAGCGCTGTTACTGATCATCAGTCTAGTAAGAAGAACTACCCGTGAGTAGGGAGCGAGCTTGTTGTTTCTTTTCTTCTCTTGGATTCAGAGAGAGGGTGATGGCTGATGTTTGTCTCTTGTTCTGAGCTCTGGCCTGGCGTGAAGCATCTAGCTGTTGCTTTCTCTTATTCTCATGCATATGCTATTCTTTGTTATGGGGATGCGCAAAAGGAAGGGAAAGCTGGTTTCTTTGCTGAATTAGCTAGACTATATCATGACAACCCTTTGCCTTGTTTGGTTGGAGGAGACTTTAACATTATCAGAAACCATAAAGAGAAAAACAAACCTATAGCAAATGAACAATGGTCCTTTATGTTTAATGCTATTATTGAACAAGCAGGGCTTAGAGAGCTTCCTTTAAATGGAAGACAATACACTTGGGCTAATAACCAAGAGGATCCCACTTATGAGAAGCTGGATAGGGTGCTGATGTGTCCTGCATGGGAGGAAAAATATCCCTTTGCCATTTTACAAGCTTGGGCTAGGGAGATCTCTGATCATACTCCTCTGTTCCTAGATACAGGGGAAGCACAACTGACCAAATATATTTTCAGATATGAAAATGGTTGGTTTTTGAGAGAGGGCTTTAAGGAACTTATATTTAAAACATGGAATCGTAGGTATAGCGAAGATGTGTTGGACAGATGGCAATTTAGGATGAGGGAATTGAGGAAAAAAGCTAAGGGGTGGAATAAAAATATGGATGCTTGGTACAGGAAAATTAAAACAGAAATTATTAAGGAATTGGATGATATTGATAAGAGAGCAGAGAGAATGGGACTGACTGCTGCAGAAAGAACTGAGCAAAAAGAGCTTAGAATGCAGCTGAAAAGAATTATGACACAAGAAGAAATGAAGTGGTTGCAGAGATTTAAAGACAAAGAAATAAAAGATGGAGATGGAAATACTAGATACTATCATGCAAGAGTGAATGGGAGGAGGAGAAAAAACAGAATAATTTCCCTAGAACAAGATGAAGGGATCATAGAAGGGAAGGATAACCTGATGGAATATATTACTAACTTTTATAAAAATCTGTTTGGACGTCCTGAGGATTCTGACATATCATTGAGGGATATGGAAATGGATAAAATATCTGCCCAAGACAAAGAGGAATTATTGTCCCCCTTTTCCTTGGATGAAATTCATAAAGTAGTGTTTGGTATGAAAAGAAACAAAAGCCCTGGACCAGATGGATTCCCTGCTGATTTTTATCAGGATTTTTGGGAGTTAGTTAAGTGGGACCTTAAAGCTTTAGTTGAGGGATTTGCCAGGGGAGATATTAACATTGCTAGGATTAACTATGGCATTATTACCCTTGTCCCTAAAACCAATGATGCCAAGCAAATACAAAAGTTCAGGCCTATATGCCTGCTTAATGTGAGTTTCAAAATTATTACAAAAGTCCTGATGAATAGGTTGGCAAAATGTGTTGCGCCTGTCATTTCCAGAACGCAGACTGCATTCATCAAAGGGAGATACATTATGGAGGGAGTTGTCATACTTCATGAAGCTTTGAACACTTTTCATAAAAATAAAGAAGATGCGTTGGTATTTAAAGTAGATTTTGAAAAAGCCTATGACAAAATTAAGTGGCCCTTTGTTATTCAGATGCTTAGACAAAAAGGCTTCCCTGATAAATAGTGTGATTGGATAATGGAAACAATGAGAGGGGGGGCATGTAGGAATAAGGGTTAATGATGAAATTGGTCCTTTCTTCAAGACGTTTAAAGGGCTTAGACAGGGAGATGCCATGTCGCCATTATTATTTGATGTGGCTGCTGATGCCCTTGCAATTTTAATGAACAATGCTTTAAAAATGGACATTGTTAAGGGAGTATTGGGGAATGATGAAAGCAAGGGGATTAATATGTTGCAATACGCCGATGATACTATCTTCCTGATCAAAGATGATGAAGCTAGTGTCAGAAACCTCAAATTTATTTTAGGGGCTTTTGAACAGATGTCTGGATTAAAAATTAACTTTCATAAGAGTGAGTTGATGTTGTTTGGTAAAGCCAAAGGTAAACAATCACTTTACCAGGAAATATTGACATGCAAAATGGGAAATCTGCCTATCAGATATTTGGGGATGCCTATGTTGGAAATATGCCCTAGAGGCAATAATAAAAGCATTATTATTATATTTCCTTGTTCATGATAATTGTCTTTATTCATGCTATAATTGTGTTATCCGGAAATCGTAATACATGTGTGAATAACAGACACCAACCTGTCCCTAGTGAGCCTCTAGTTGACTAGCTCGTTGATCAACAGATAGTCATGGTTTCCTGACTATGGATACTGGATGTCATTGATAACGAGATCACATCATTGGGAGAATGATGTGATGGCAAGACCCAATCCTAAACATAGCACAAGATCGTATAGTTCGTTTGCTAGAGTTTTCCAATGTCAAAGTATCTTTTCCTTAGACCATGAGATCGTGTAACTCCCGGATACCGTAGGAGTGCTTTGGGTATGCCAAACGTCACAACGTAACTGGGTGACTATAAAGGTAGACTACGGGTATCTCCGAAAGTGTCTGTTGGGTGACATGGATCAAGAATGGGATTTGTCACTCCGTATGACGGAGAGGTATCACTGGGCCCACTCGGTAATGCATCATCATAATGAGCTCAGAGTGACCAAGTGTCTGGTCACGGGATCATGCATTACGGTACGAGTAAAGTGACTTGCCGGTAACGAGATTGAACGAGGTATTGGGATACTGACGATCGAATCTCGGGCAAGTAACATATCGATAGACAAAGGGAATAGCGTACGGGATTGATTGAATCCTCGACATCGTGGTTCATCCGATGAGATCATTGTGGAGCATGTGGGAGCCAACATGGGTATCCAGATCCCGCTGTTGGTTATTGACCGGAGAGTCGTCTCGGTCATGTCTGCTTGTTTCCCGAACCCGTAGGGTCTACACACTTAAGGTTCGGTGACGCTAGGGTCATGAAGATATGTATATGCAGAAACCCGAATGTTGTTCGGAGTCCCGGATGAGATCCCGGACGTCACGAGGAGTTCCGGAATGGTCCGGAGGTAAAGAATTATATATAGGAAGTGCTATTTCGGGCATCGGGACAAGTTTCGGGGTTATCGGTATTGTACCGGGACCACCGAAAGGGTCCCCGGGGTCCACCGGGTGGGGACACCTGTCCCGGGGGGCCACATGGGCTGTAGGGGGTGCGCCTTGGCCTAGATGGGCCAAGGGCACCAGCCCCTATAGGCCCATGCGCCTAGGGTTTCCACCATGGAAGAGTCCATGTGGTGGAAGGCACCCCTAGGTGCCTTGGGGGGGAGGGAAACCTCCCCTTGGCCGCCTCCCCCCCTAGTAGATCTCATCTACTAGGGCCGGCGCCCCCCTGGCACCCCTATATATAGTGGGGGGGGAGAGGAGGGATTTCACACCAGCCCCTGGCGCCTCCATCTCCCCCCGTTACGTCTCTCCCTCGTAGTCTCGGCGAAGCCCTGCTGCTGTGACGCCCTGCATCCATCACCACGCCGTCGTGCTACTGGATCTTCATCTACCTCTCCTTCCCCCTTGCTGGATCAAGAAGGAGGAGACGTCTCCCGTCCCGTACGTGTGTTGAACGCGGAGGTGCCGTCCGTTCGGCGCTGGTCATCGGTGATTTGAATCACGTCGAGTACGACTACATCATCACCGTTCTTTTGAACGCTTCCGTGCGCGATCTACAAAGGTATGTAGATGCATCTAATCACTCGTTGCTAGATGAACTCCTAGATGATCTTGGTGAAACGAGTAGGAAAATTTTTGTTTTCTGCAACGTTCCCCAACAGTGGCATCATGAGCTAGGTCTATGCGTAGTTCTTCTTGCGCGAGTAGAACACAATTTGTTGTGGGCATAGATTTGTCAACTTTCTTGCCGTTACTAGTCCTTTCTTGCTTCAGCGGTATTGTGGGATGAAGCGGCCCGGACCAACCTTACACGTACGCTTACGTGAGACCGGTTCCACCGACTAACATGCACTAGTTGCATAAGGTGGCTGGCGGGTGTCTGTCTCTCCTACTTTAGTTGGAGCGAATTCGATGAACAGGGTCCTTATGAAGGGTAAATAGAAGTTGACAAATC